TCTGCATTATAACTCATACAAAGTTTGAATTGCAGTATAAAACTTTGGATTACTAGTGTAATCTTGCATAAGTAATACGTTTGCTTCCGGTGTAAAATTCTACTACTTAACAACAAATGCAGCATTTTTCGTTTTTGTTTTATGCTTTCTAGAATGTGGAACAATCAAAATACACATATCTGCATAACCTCTCCTCTTTTCCTTCTTAGAGCTTGAACTTTGAGGTATTATGAATTTATGATCGACTCTGTATAGTCTAATGAGTTCCTTTATATGCTTCTTCATTGGATTTATACAGAGCAGGGATTCGATTATCTATAATTGGCGACTCCAGTAAGCTCCCCAAGTCATTGCAGGATTTAATAGATAAAGCGGTAATGACTACTAAAGCAAACTCGCGACTTCATATCCTCGTTGCAATTAACTATAGTGGACAGTATGATGTTGTACAAGCTTGTCAAACCATTGCTCAAAAAGTTAAGGATGGTACTATCGAACCCGAAGACATTAATAGTTTCCTAGTAGAACAGGAATTACTAACAAAATGTACTGAATTTCCAAGTCCTGATTTACTTATAAGGACTAGTGGGGAGCTTAGACTTAGCAATTTCTTACTCTGGCAGTTGGCCTATACTGAGCTCTTCTTTTCTCATTCACAATGGCCTGATTTTGGTGAAGCTGAATTTTTAGAGGCTTTATCTTCTTTTCAGCAAAGACAGAGGCGCTACGGTGGACAGAGTTCCTAGCATCATGCTATGTGAAACAAGTTCGGAGTATGTTACAGAATGGATATAGACATTATTCATAGTAATACACATAGTTATATTTAGGTAAGGGCGTATATAGGTGGAGGCTATGGGTTCATGTGAACGTGAACTCATGCTCCTTTCCCTAAACCATATATAGAAATGTATATTTATACAAATTTACGTATATGGGTGCATCCAAGCTCAAAGTGTCCTATGTGGTTTAAATTCCACGATTGTCTTGTAATTGCGTTCATCTCTATAAGTGAAATTGATGGTTCAGATTTCACGTATGCCTTGTTATTTTTTCGTCCTTTTCCAAGCATTGAGCCCGGGAGTATTTTTTTTTCTTTACCTTCTTTCCACAAACATAGTATAATGTTGTGTAATTAAATCAAATATCTAGCGGATGACATATAGTCAACTGGCTCAACTGATCCCAACATTTTGGGGTTTCGACATGGAGTAAGATATTTATGTGAAAATCACTAAATTTCTATAACAATTTAATCTTGAATCCATAATTTCTAATGTGTAATGAGTTAATGGTAAGAACCTAAAGGTTAAACTCGCTAAATTAATGTAAATTTGTAATACACTCCCTTAATACAAAGTAGAGTGTCTAACTAATGCATAGCATGAAAAAATGTATCAAGGCATGCATGATTTTTTAAAGTACACTCTGCCAAACGACCCCTTAATCCCTTAAATCGCTCATAAAGGTAGGGGCGGGGCTACAACCTACACTATTAGGTATAGGTTGGGACAAATAAGAGGCTCTAGTTTTGTATTAGGAGATTTATTGAATTTGCATAGTATTATATTAATTGTGAATCTAGTAACGAGCAATGGGTTCGATAGAAAATTTGTTGAATTTGCATAATATTAAACTTATACTTCTATTTTTTTTAATAGCCACACGTACGTTGCGTAGAAATTCGAGGTTTTCTTCTTGCAACAGCAACAACAACTTGGTTGAAAGCGATAGTGATTATTTTCTATTGTTCTAAAGCACTAAACAGATAATTCCATTGCACTTGTTTGACTTTCAAATTTTGTATCGGTTAGGATTAGGGTTTTGTTCAAACTCGAATCGAAATCAATAATTTAAATTGAAAGAAAAAATTATTGAGTTATCGATAATAAATTATTAATTTAGTGATTTCGATAACAATTTTGATTTTCTTTTATTATTGGGTTATCAATTTTTAACGGTTCGAGATTTTTTTCTTAATGAGTTAACCGATAGCTCAATAATAAATAAATAAATTATATTTATGCATTTGGTACATATGTCTTTGGCTTATAGTTTCATACTTTTATTTGTGGTTGTCTAGGACTTTCGATTACTCTAAAATATGTAAGTGTTTGCTTTTGAGCAAGATGCAATCTATCAACTCATTTTATGTTTCATTTGGTTTGCCATCTTGTTTCTAAAGGTTTTTTTGTCCCACTTTAAATTAACTTACTTTTCTTTTTAGTCAATCCCGAAAAGTATAATACATTTTATTTCAATGAAAGGATTTTTTGTTATAGAAATTTCTATAATTCTTTTTAGACCACAAGTTTTAAAAGTCTTCTTTTCTTTCTTACACTATGTGCCGAGTCAAATTACCTCACATAAAATAAAACATAGTACTTTTTTTTATCAAATTTAATAGTTATAAACTGATAATCAAGCTGATAACGAAAGCAATAATGATCACCTTGTTTTTCAAGCACCTTCGGATTTGCTTTTATCTATGAACTAGTAGTTTCTCAAGCATACACGTTGCGCTTGGTGCTTTGTCAATATTTACCAAAAAATTTAAAACTAATATTATAAATTATGTTAGAGATAATTACATAAAACTTAACAAAAAAATAAATCATGCAAATTCCTTAGCGATAACGGAATTGCATGCCAAGACAATAATGAATTTGAAAATAAATACAACATTATATTTTCCAATCTTTGTGTACTCTTTTTTTTTTTCTATTTAATTAGTAGAAAAGAAATACTTCTTCATTTCATTAATATAATGCAACCCAAAACTCTTCCCTATATCAAACTTGATATTAGAGTATTAAGTTATTTAGCTTCAATTAGTGATGAAGGCTGCAAAAAGATATTCGCCATGAAAAAATAATGATAGAAGTTTAAGATATTTCGTAATTATTGATTATAAAGAAACTGCAAGCTTTTCTTAGTGAAAATTCAAAAACAGATTAGTTGCAAAATCATTTATAAACCAAAATAACGCTATAATTGAAGGACCAAACTTGTTACTTTCATTGTCATTGTTTATGAGATTAAGGATATTCACACAAATTGAGTGGCATAAAAAGGATTAAGTAATATGATGTGACTTTAAAAAATTACAATTATTTTTTAATTTTTAAAAATATTACCTCACCTGTTTCTCTTACCTTCTCCAAATCAAAGTTAAGTGAACGACTTTTTTATTTTTTATTTTTTATAATTTAGTTGATTAATGCTCTCTCTTAGGTGTGAGCATGATATGATATGGTACGGTACTGCAAGTTTTGAAATCGTAATGGTATTTGATTTTTAAATTATTATATATTTATCATATCAATTTAATTTGGTATGGTTCGGTATTTTTGAAGTTCGGTTTCGATATGCTATGGTATGGTAAATTGGCAATCATAGTTTGTTCAACTTTGATTAATATATATTCGTATAATAGAGTATTATGATTTCGACAATTAAAAAAGGTCTCAATTATATCATATTAACACATCACACATGTAGAAATATACTAGAAAGTGCGCACGGAGCCTAATCCCAACAATTTGATTTGTAATGTGTTCAAATATGCAACATTTATTATTAAAAAAAAATGGACCAAAAAAAAATATCTTACCTTAAATTTTTCGTCATTACAAATTGTATCAGCATCAAGTTAATAATGCATTAGTACCATAAAAAGGATATAGTTGGTGCATAGTTAGGTTCGTCTGATAACCAAAATAACTACACTCAAATGTTTCAACAATTGATATAACACATTGATTTCATAAAAATCACGGGAAAGAATCATCAACAATTGTAATTTTGAGAATTAACCAAAAAAATAATAATCTCTGATGATGTAATTTCACACAATTTTTAGTTGAGAATTACACTACTAACAATGCTAAGAATATTAATGATAGATCCTAAAATATTTCTCATGATCTTGTAACTGTTGACATTAATCTAGCTTTCATTTTTTCAAGCAGATTTTTTTTCACATGAATGACAGTGCTTCTTCAGCGATACATTTGTACCTTTCAGGAAAAGTAAAATAAAATATAATTCAGGAGGAAAGTTTTCCTCTAAATCCATAAAAAGAAAGTGACTCTGATGGAATAGTTAAATACCACTCTAACTTTTTCAATTTGCTTTCTCCATTTGTACTTAGTCCCTGACATAAGCATTGTGTGTTATTGTTAGAAAGTCATCCACCTGGAGAGGAAGGCATAATAGAGAATTAGGGATCATGACAAATTTCAACGGAACAAATTAACACATTTTCAATTACGTCAAATAAGCCCATTTGACCTCAAAAGTGCTATATATATATATATGATTAAAAGGTTAATTGTATTATGGCCATTGGATGAGTTTGGATGGCTTAAATTTAAGGTGAAGAAACACAAACCATATACTTGCTTCAATAGCACGCATGAATTAGCTGATTTTGGGAGACTTTGATTGTTAGTTTTTTTTTTGGACCTATTTTTGAATTGCAATTGTAGGCAACTTCTTGGAAAATAACCACCATTGATTATAGTTATAGCCCTCAATTAATTGCCTATTTTTCAACTCTACATAATTATTGTTATAGCCCTCAATTAATTGCCTATTTTGTAACTCTACATAAATTATTGTTATAGCCCTCAATTAATTAAACCTAAGTCACTAATATCAATATTAGACATGTGACTGTTGACACCCAGTCAAGAAATAATTTGGGGAAATAAAGATGATAGTTAAATCACTTTTTTTATAGATATGGTTCTCCTAACACTATACAAATTGATTCCTAAATATTAATAAGGTAAAATAAAGATAAATGTGGATAAAATATAAATGGAAAAGGGTTAAAAATACCCTTAAACTATTCGAAATAGCTCATATTTACCCTTAAACTATATTTCAGCTCAAAACTACCCTTTCCGTCAAACTATTGAGTCAAAAGTGCCCTTCTTATTAACGGAAGTTGTTAATGCCACATGGTATGCCAATTGCTGATGGAGAGGATTGCGGTGGAAGTTAACAAAATCCCAGAAGAAATAAAGGTATGCCTGGTGTTTCTGATGATTGTCTGAATAGTCTATTTTCATATGTGATGCATATCAGCAGCTTCACCATTTTCACTTCCTTTAGCACTGTAGATGATGATGTATATGGATTGTTTTCTCATTTTTCATTTTTCCACCAGGAAATGAATTTCATCAGTGAAGGATCAGTCTTGCACTGTGCTCAAGAAGTTGAAGACTGTACGTTGGGGCATCTCTGGGATGAATTGAAATCTTCTTGTGACTTCATTAATGCTCAAAATGAAGTTGAAACTTTTAATCGCCATAATCGATGGAAGAAGCGATTGAGGTATTGCCATGGTGCCAACCAAATTTGGAATAGCTTTCACTTTTAAGACTATGAACCAGGTACATTCTTGTCTTTGTTGTACACCCTAAAGTTCCTAGTTAGGTCCATGTTCCTTTGATTAGTGATTAGTTTAATTATTGCCTTCATTCTACTCTGGCCCAGGTGTCTGGATATATTTAAGCTGTTTCTTTGGTACCTATGAGCATGATAACAGCCGTTGTCGGGCATCCGGGAAGGGCCGGAGCACAAGGGTCTATTGTACACAGCCTTAACTTGCATTTCTGCAAGAGGCTGTTTCCACAGTTCGAACCCGTGACCTACTGGTCACATGGCAATAACCTTACCACTCATGCGAAGGCTCCGCTTCCATAATAACCAATATTAAAACTTGAATTTACTCAGTCTGTAAATGTTGAACTTAGATACTGCCTTCACTTGCTACCTAAAATAATTGAAACTGATCTTCCTCAGCCAAGCGGTGGTTTGCTTGGTTTGGGGTGTGTGTGTGTGTGGATATTTCTTCTAGCACATCGTATTGTTTTATTCAAATTCCTTGTGTTGCATGTCAATTTTGTTTGCAGATTATGAAAAATATTATTACCTGCATCATCTAGTTTTCTTGCCAATCTAGGTACCTAATGCTTCTGCAAGTTCTGACATGTATGGAGCTGCAGTATTGGATGCATGTGAGCAAATAAAAGCACGGATGGAGCCTATTGCAATTTGCATCCAAGTCTAACTTCAGCTCTTTTGAGGAGGTGTTTCTTTTTGTGCTGGCTTTTAAGTAATTTTTTTGATTTGATATCTGTTTTATTTCATTCCTGACTTGCTTGTCTATCATTTAAAATATGTTTTGAGGAGGAAATGATAAAATACTCTACTCGTGAATTTCTCTAATTTAATGGGCTAATAGGTACATGAGTAAGTGATCTAATTAAATTAAAGAGCAGACATGGTGAGGCTGTTCAAATCAGTTGTGGCTTGTGATCATATTGTCTGTTTCGTTTTCCTTTTCTCCATTTTATCACACTCAATTTTTCTCCTTATGGAATACTAGCTCCTCATTTTTCAGATAAAAAGGGATATATGCATGCATATTCATTCCCTGATACACCTTCAAATTATTTTGATTGGTTTCTTCCTACAGTAACTTCTTCAGGGTTAGGCACCAATTGTGAAGAAGATGATTACAAGTGGTGCTTACTGCTTACAGCTTTTTCAGAGCCATGGGAGGTCCAATAAGAGTCCTTCAACAAATTATGTAGTTGCCTAAGATGAATATATATTTGTTAGATGGTAAGCGAAGAAGAAAAGGAAGGTGGAAATAATTCAACGTCAGAAGAGAACAAAACGCGTTGATGCAAAGGTATATATGACCTCCCCTCCATAGAGAGTTAAGACAACATGTTCAGTATATTCATAATCTTGCGAATTGAAACATTAAATTAGAAGAAACTCAAAAAAGGCTGAGTATCTGCAAGAACGATTTTTTGCAATGGAACAGCTTTACCTTTTGGCAAATTTCTGTTTTTGTTTTGATACAAGATCCCATGAGTCAATATTCTTTTGTATGTGAAATGCACGATTTTTTATCTACAGTAATGAAGATAGGATAAACTGCTGGGACACACTATGAGATGAAATCTTATGACACTCAAACAGATCATATGCTTTACAGACACTACTGGTAACTTAAAGAACTATAGCTCTTTCCATACACCTAAATCAAAGACTTAATAAGATACTATAATTCAAGGCTACCTCTGGGAAATGGGTTCTTAAGTATGATCTTAATAGAAACAGAGTTCTATCAAGGTCCTTCTTGTTAAGAAATAAAGTAAGCAGATCAGCACCATTTTTTGATAATTCCTCTGCTGTTTCATCCTGAAGAGCGAAGACTAAGTAACATTAGCATGCAATACATTGTAAGTCATGAAACTGCAGAAATGAATAACGAGTAGCATAGGTCGAGGAACAAAAGCAAATATTAGATTCATATAAATGAACAATATACCACAACATAAAACAGAACTTTTGGCATCATCAAATGAAATGTAGATTTGAAGTGTCGGAGGAGTTTTACATTCCACTTCGTTAAATATGACAATTAACAGATGTTGTACAGCAACAATGAAGTTATGGATTATAATGCACTACGTATCAGTAACAACACACGTTATGATAAGCATTGTTTGGATGAGAGCACAACAACTTTTCCATTCAGATAGCACACAGTTTTAGCTTTCAACTAAAAACCTCATTTATGATTTACCGAACACAGTTGTATCCGTTAACATAGAATCTCATGGAAGTCATACTCATATTCACAACAAACACTTCACCTACTAGAAGACAAACTGCACATCACAGATACTAGAATTAAATTCTGTTAGGCAATAATTTTCTGTCAAAAATAAGTTGCATCCTGCTTGAGTCTTGGACAACACTTTTTTTTTTTGTTTTTTCTGTCGTATAGTCCCTTTATAAATGCACTTCTAAAATGATGACATCAACTAGTGATTCTCAACTTGCTAGCCATATATCCACCATGCCAAACAAAGCATAAGTCTTTAACACAACAAATATTAAAATAGAAAGGAATTCTAATAGAACATAAGGTGAAAACCGATGTTAAAAAAATAAACAGACAAACAATGCAAAACTTCCAATCGATACTTTCACATAACAGATTATAACGCATACGATCAGTTTACAAAATCTGCCTATCATCATTTTACTAAACATTTTAAAGCTTACCTCTTCCGCTGATTTATCAGGTATACGAAGTATTTTCTCGATGGAATTCTCGCCATGACAGACATTAACTGAGACGTAGGGTGATTTGTTGGCACCCGACGATGCATTATCTTCATCGCTCGAAACAGCAGGGTGGCTCAATGCCTTTAAAGATGAGACATATGTCTTAGGCCTCCAAAATCGAAGGGCCTAATTTTTAAGTAATAATAAAATTATCTTAAGCTTTTTGTAACAATAAATTCATAAATAATGTTTTAATTTGTTTCGAAACATTAAAGAATGTTTCTTTTTTATGGATCAATTTTTAAATTTAACTTCCACATAATATGTTTAAAGACCACAAGATTAAAAAATATTTTTGATATATATATATATATATATATATCTTTAGTTTAAGATCATAAAAAAAAAAAAACTTTTTTTTATTAAAAAGAAAGAAATAACTTGAATCTTATATAAAAAAAATAATTAAAATTTAGGCCTCCAACTTATTTTTGACTTTAGGCCACTAATTAACTTGAGCCGCCATTGCGAAACAACATCAAATTCATCGTCGTCTTTTCCTTCCGGCCTAGCATCATCATCATCAGGATGATCCTCAGGATCATCATCATCATCTGAACCATTTTTATCCGAGCTGAATAGCCGGCGAACTTCATTCACCAAGATATCAAACATGCAATGGATGAGAACAATCAAATTGTTAGACAATTTCATGAAAAATAAAGCGGAAAAGAGCAATAGCATCAATACATTGAATATCAGTAAAAATACAACATGTATTTGTACTACGATTAGTAGTACAAATCCAATCAACACAGTGAAAATTACTAAAAGGAGTAGAGGAATTTCCTTAGATGAGGTTTGAATAGAGGTGAGAATTTGAAACAAAAACAATGGGAAGAAGAGAAGTTTTGAGAGAAGAAGGTCCATAGATGAGAAATGATCAAAATGGCCATTCATGTATATGAGTTGAATTATTTTGGTCCTTTATATATATTGCCTTATCCAAATAGTCCTTAATGTATATAAAAAAAGTATCATTTTGGTCCATAGCCCTAAAAACTAACTAAAAAATAAAAAAAAACTGTTAAATTTAATTGTGGGTTCCACACTTGGACCCTTTCTTCCTCCATCTTTCTTCTGCCGTTTCTTCTTCTCCATCTTCTTTCTTCCACCATTTTTTCTCCAATTTTCAATTGATTTATTCTTTCTATTGACAGTCAAAATCCTCTCTTAAACACAAAATTTTCTTCAAATTTCAAAAAATGTTCATAAACTTTTATTTTCTATATCTGTTAGTTCAGTTCTTATTTTTAGTAATTTAAAAAAATATAATCATGCATTTGATTTGCAAAGTGGAGAAACTGGAAAAAATGTTTAAATTACTTAGAGAGGCGAAAGTAACACTGTTACTTAAAACACTTGATATGGGGGTTTTGCCGAATTGGATTTGTTGAAATGAGTTTTGAATTTACGAATGTTTTTTTAAAAAAAATTTGAAGAAATTTTTGTATTTAAGAGAAGATTTTGGCTATGAATAGAAGAATAAATCAATTGGAAATTGGAGAAAAAATGGTGGGAGAAAAAAGGATGGAGAAAAAGAAATGGCAGAAGAAAGGGTCCAACAAGGGTGGGATCTACCGTTAAGTTTAACCTTTTTTTATTTTTCAGTTAGTTTTTAGGTTTAAAGACCAAAATGATACTCTTTTTATATACATTAAGGACTATTTGGATAAGGTGACATATATAAAGGACTAAAATAATTTGACCCCTATACATGAAGGACCATTTTGATCATTTTCTCTGAGAATTTGAATAAAAAACAATGGAAAGAAGAGAAGTATTGTAATTTTACAAGAAGAAGAGAGTTCAAAAATTTGGGCAAAAGAACTTTTCTCCCACCCAAATCAATTGGAAAAACAGATTATTTTTTATCGATTAGTCTTAACAGATTAGATTAGAGTAAGGGGGCAGAATGACCGTTAGATTCGATGAAGAGTTAAATGCTCACCGTTGGATAGGATAGATTTTTGATGGCAGAAGAGATTAGAAGAAGGGGGCAGAATGACCGTTAGATTTGATGAAGAGTTGAATGGTCACCGTTGGATAGGATAGATTTTTGATGGCAAAAGAGATTAGAGGAAGGGGGCATAATAACCGTTAGATTTGATGAAGAGTTGAATGCTGATAGCAGGATTCGAGGCAATGCACAACATATTTCGAATCTGTCTCCTTCACCACTCGGACATATTGACTACCTCTTTCTCTTTTTGAAATTAATTTTATTTAATACGTTTTGCAATTTTGGGAAATATTGTAAGATGTTTCTCTCATATTACAAGTTTTTCCTATATTAAAGTGGTTATAATGTGCATAAATTATGGTGATGTAACTTAATTATGAGCTAGGAAATGTTGAAAGAAAAACTTTGGCAGCTTATATATGAGCCAGAATTGAGATGCTTTTGGTTGTTGATCCTCTGAATATATATGACCCTTTCATATTATTAAATTCATTTTTAAATAGTAAAGGTGTGTAATAGATAGATAGAATAAATCAATTGGAAATTGGAGAAAAAATGGTAACCTTTTTTTATTTTTTAGTTAGTTTTTAGGTTTAAGGATCAAAATGATACTAGTTTTATATACATTAAGGACTATTTGGATAAGGTGACATATAAAGGACTAAAATAATTTGACCCCTATACATGAAGGACCATTTTGATCATTTTCTCTGAGAATTTGAATAAAAAACAATGGAAAGAAGAGAAGTTTTGTGATTTTAACAGGAAGAAGAGAGTTCAAAAATTTGGGCAAAAGAACTTTTCTCCCGCCCAAATCAATTGGAAAAACAGATTATTTTTGATCGATTAGTCTTAACAGATTAGAGATTAGAGTAAGGGGTCAGAATGACCGTTAGATTCGATGAAGAGTTAAATGCTTACCGTTGGATAGGATAGATTTTTTATGGCAGAAGAGATTAGAGTAAGGGGGCAGAATGACCGTTAGATTTGATGAAGAGTAGAATGCTCACCGTTGGACAGGATAGATTTTTGATGGCAGAAAGATTTGATGAAGAGTTTAATGTTCACCGTTGGATAGGATAGATTTTTTATGACAGGAGAGATTAGAGGAAGGGGGCAGAATGACCGTTAGATTTGATGAAGAGTTGAATGCTCACCGTTGGATAGCAGGATTCGAACCTGCGCAGGCAACGCACAACATATTTCGAATCTGGCTCCTTCACCACTCGGACATATTGACTACCTCTTTCTCTTTTTGAAATTAATTTTATTTAATACGTTTTGCAATTTTGGGAAATATTGTAAGATGTTTCTCTCATATTACAATTTTTTCCTATATTTAAAGTGGTTATAATGTGCATAAATTATGGTAATATAACTTAATTATGAGCTAGGAAATGTTGAAAGAAAAACTTTGGCAGCTTATATATGAGCCAGAATTGAGATGCTTTTGGTTGTTGATCCTTTGAATATATATGACCCTTTCATATTATTAAATTCATTTTTAAATAGTAAATGTGTGTAATAGATCGTCACAATAGTTTAAGCGTGTAACTGATTTTTCGGGATAAGTTTAGGGGACAATTTATGCCTTTTCCCTATTTAAATACTGAAATAGTACATGAACAAATCCATTATCCATCAAATATCGTGTGATGTGGTTCTACGAGAATTTCTCGATTATAAAAATGTATTAAAATATCATTAATTTAAGTGGCAAGAGTATTTTTTTTTCAATCTTTTGTTCAAATAAACTACTATTACGAGTCCCACAAGATGATTTATGTACCTTAAGCAAGAATCAAAGGCTCATTTTATCAAATAATATCAACAAGAGGAAAGAAAAATGCTAATTTGTTTTATTATTTCCTTAAGAAAAAAAAAACATCAAGTTAATTTAATTAAATAGGTTATTTGTGCAAGAAATGGGTTGTTCATTACTCCACGTATATGCTGAATTAAGTTGAATGTTTCACTAAAATCATAAAAATTAAAACGTTGTTATGTCATTGTCATACACAACTAATCATATTTGGTCCTACTACTAATTAAATGATAGTCTAATCCATTATAATTATAA